TATACAAACTATATTAAAACTGATTTTTAATTAATTGATGTGTAAAATATCTTACATAAACAACTGTATCCAATGAATTTGAAGTTGGAAAAATATCCATTGAACTCATTTGGATAATTATTATTAATTTGCAAAATAATGTCAATTGTCTCCTCCTAATTGTGTCCATGCTAAAACCAATTATATAATTGTTGTAAAAAATCTTATTAAACAATCAATTCATCTACTCTGGTCATTTGGGTGTTGATGTATAATTGAAACAACTCTTTGATAAAGAACTTTGGTATTAGATCAATTGTTTCTTGTCAGATGGACAATACAAAGTTGGAAGAAGAAGAGGAATTGGTCTAGATGTATAATTCTACCTATACAAATAAAAGTTGTCAGTCTAACTCAAAGAAAACTAACATACTAATCAAACATAACTGAGAGCACACAACATAAACTACACATTGTAACATATAGGTTTCCTAAAGAACAATTACACTAATACAAAAAATGTAACATTTCATTTAATAGTGTTAAACTACTAAATAAAACATTATAATATGATAATCAACAAGTCTAGAAGAAAAACTATACAACGATTATATTACGGTTTATCCACATTAGCATGTGATGATCAGTATAGAAAGTCATAATATGCACCAACATTAAACTAGATTTTTATAAAGGAAAGAGTTATACGCATAGGATTTTATCCTAAACTATGTTGCTATATCGTCCTCATCCTATAGGATCGATTGAAATATTTCATTTGCTCACACCATTAAGATGATCATTGCAAACAAAAATAGAACACACTATAGGGTAAATTTTTATGTACTGTTACTAAAAGAACTCCACTCTTTATTTATATATATAATTTTCAAAACCATCGACTTGCAAAAGGATATATAAAAAGTAACATTTCTTCAAATAAGTATTGAACTGATGAATTAAAACTATTTAAACTATAACAGTGACATATAATAGTTTCGTTTTTAGATCTATTAAAACTTCATATACATCAAGCATTTTTGAATAATAAAATAAAATATGACTCTTAATTAGATAAAGCATTTCTTTTTACAAAAAAATAAATGTCACCTTTGCTTGATAGAAGTTTTTGTTCTATGCAACACACGAATGGGCTGCAAATATTTTTTAATTATATATTAACTTTTATAACAAATGCTGCATAATTTACTGAATATTGTTTATAAAAATAATAATTACATGTACTCTTTTTTTCACTCATGTATTTTATTTTTTAGGTATAATTTTCTTAGAAAATACATACTAATGGATTACATAATAATCATAATCATAATTTAGACTTGTTTGTTTTTTATCAATTACAGGTTCTTATTAAGTGTGAATCATTATATGAACTCTCAGTGTTTATTTATGTTGTATTAATTTTTCAAGTACATTTTTATT